CCTGCGCCTTCCCTGCCGCCGCGGGCAGCCCAGGCCGCCGGTCCTGCCCCAGAAAAAGCAAGCATCGCTCCGGATCTCAGAGCCATCCTGCTTCTCGCCATGCTCCACGCACAGTATCTGTCCATCGGGTGTCCTACGATGACTGCAAGGCTTGTTGAAGACCCTCTCGGAGAGAGCTGCTGAAGTTTGCAGAATCAATTACGGCATGAAAAATTGGAGGCAAAAGGAGAATACTCCGAATGGAGAGCGGAGGAAAACTTCGGCTGCAGGACCCTCCTGCGTGCTCCGGGGTCAAGCCCTGCCCCCAGGTCTCACCAGGTTTGAGACGGCAATTAGCTGTGGACCCTCTCTTTGGCAGCAGTGTTTTGAGAGATAAGCCATCAGAGGGAACGCCAGAGGCCACCGAGGGTAACTTCACTTTAATAAATAAAAAATAATCGAGGCAGCCACTATCAGTTAGAGATATTAATCTACTTTTTTTCCAGATTGAAAAATGTAAATCAAGCAGAGCTGCCTCGAGCCAATTTGCAGCTCTCACTGTGAAAATAACCTGCACCACTTGATGGTTTTAAGAAGGCTCACATAAAATGTAAATTCCAGATACCAAATAAATACTTGTGGTTGTACGCTGTGCTACAGTGTGTGCGTTTTAATCCTGCCTTCCATCAAAGACCCATCCTCGATCGGCTGGAAACCTTCCTGGGCGTCCCCTGAAATCCAGATTCCTTCTACAGACTGAAAATAAAATCTTGCTCCTCACCAAGAGATAAATGACCAGAAAGAAAAGGCAACTGATTTGGATTGATTGTGCTGCCACGTGTCCTTTTTGTACCAAGGGCTTTCCAGGGATTCATTAAACCTCCCCGCCTGGGCAGCAGGTACGGGCTGTCGTGCAAAGATCGCTTCATCTACACATAGCTACGTCCGAGGGAAAAAACTTCACAACAGCGCGGGCTATAAGCTGAGAGGACTATTGCAGCAAAGAGAAGCTGGGGAGAACTTACAAAAACAAAATATAATTATTTAAACTGGAATTTGATCTGGACACCCCAGTCAAACATCCGTCTTCCGTGCAGCAGTCGGGGACCCGGGCTGCAGGTGGCACGGCCACCATTTCACGGCTACCGGATTTCTCTCTTTATCCAGCTCTACACCACCAGTATCCTTAAAAGCTAAACAGCACCATCTTCCACCTCAAGTTGGCCATAAATCCTGTATAGAGTAGTGAATTCTCCTGATAGTGTAAATTCCCCCCCAAATGAAAATAAAGATAGAAGAAAGGACCAAAACCAATTCCTTCTCTTCCTTCCTACTGCCGCGTTTCACAGTTTAGTAACACGCCCAAATTTAAAAAACTTTTACAGGTTTTCTCAAAGCTTGTTCACTGACATAAATTTTATCTCCATTGCTTTGTAAATCTTATAATGCGATGGGGTTTTTTGGTTTGGTTTTTTTTAGATACAATTGCGATGCAGCCCACACCAATCAGGAAGAACACAAGCTGGAGAATTCAATTAAAATGCTAAATTAATTCAATTGAATAAATCCTGTTAATGACACATTTTTCTATCAGCAAATTAAAGGAAACGTAGAACTTTTTAGAAGATGAATAATCCAGAAAGCACAGCAAGGGCACACAAGACGCATGACTCCAGCAATGGTGCAAGCAAGATGAAGAACACGTTTCAAGAAGGAAAACATCAGTGATCTCCAGGCGTTCTGAAGCAAAGAAAAGTTACCCCCTTATTACCTGCAACGAGCTCAAGTTTTTCTCCAGGATCTCCCTCTGAGTAGAGTTTTGGGTGGCAACGGTATCCGATTTGACTGATAAGACTGGCTGGGAGAGCAACTAGATCCCGTCGTATGAGGACACAGGAGCGGTTCTCCAGTGGGATCTGCTCTGGCTTCTCTTGAGCAACTTAAAAATTAAAAGGGAAAACCATTAAAACAGTTCATTATGCAGGCACAACATTAACAGAAGGTCAGGTTTTTATTTTTTCAGGTAGCTCTTGGAAATATTCCTCCCTCCAGAATCACAACCATTCGCCAGGGCTATCGACCGCAGGGCAGACGCCACCTCACAGCGTGGAAGGATGCCCTGGTCTCCCCCTCCATCACCTACCGCAGCAGCTCGTATGCGCGTTCGGGTTCTGCGAGAGGGATTCTTGGAACCTAATTATGCTTTAACTTTTCCTAAGTTAATCATTTATGAAAATGGGCAACTCTGCACAGCTGGCATCGTTCTGGAAGTGCAGCATACGGAGCTGGCTTCCCCAAACACTCCCAGAAGAACCGCCGGTTACTTCACCAGGGGTTTCTAAAACAGGCAATAAATTGCCCACGTTTGATAAATACCTGCATCAGTACTGTAACTACTTCTCTTGATGTTTTTTTTCCTGCTGAAGTTAAAAGTCAGACTCTGCAGATACCCACTGCACCCAGAAAGGTCACTGTAGCCTCCCCCGAGGACAGCACCCACCAGCCACCTCCTGCAAGCACCAACTCACCCCCCCAGGCACCTTCTCTTATTCTGCCTCTCGCAGGCTAACGCTTCCTCTCAGTGACAAGAGAGACCCCAACCAACAAGCCAAAAAATGTTATCAAGCTGTGGCTTCAAAACCAAATTACTGGGTTTTGCCAGGACGCAGCCGTGACTTGCCCCGATGTTCCATCCCCGGAGCCCACCGCTGCCCACTAACAACCACTACTGTCGAAAAGCTGAAACTACCGAGCTGTCCTGCCAGCACCGCGCCAGTCTGGGTCTTGTGGGCATCCAGAGGATGCGCTTTCTAAAGCACATTTACTGTGCAAGTCCACAGGCTTGCTTAAAATTACAATTTTTGACAGCAAAAGAGGGCCGACACGGGTGTACATCAACTCCAGCTGCACTGGGACGTGGTGGGAGCAGCTACAGTTCCGAATGGCAGCCCGGCTCTACAACGATCCGTCTTTTTTCCCAAAGAGGTTTGATAACGTGGCAAGTGCCACACGTAAAATCAAACCCAGCTCTGTGCTTCAATATCTGTGAATAGAGAGAGAAGAAAAAACCCCAGAAATTAGCGTTTCTGAACTCAAAATGTCTCCTACTCAAGAGGTGTCTTTTCCTGCAATTATTTCAGTGTTCTGGGGGACATTTTTCCACTCTCTAGATAAAATAACAAGTTTTGCAGACTTGTTGCTGTAGTAACCAAAGGGTGATGGCTCCCGTACAATGGGAGCAGTGTTCTAACTAGGACATGCCCCGCGACGCCGTGCTGTGCCGTGGCATCCTATCGCAGGCACGGGGCTGGAAGCATCCCCACGCTCACCGCTCCCTCCTTCCCTAAAAAGTTGGAATACCAGGAGGATGCCCCTTGCCCGTGGAGCTGCAGAGCGGCAGAGCAGCATTTCCTTCAGTGATTAAGGACCAACAGCAGCAGAACAATTCACGTGATGTTTTAAAACTAACTTCTCTTGCCATCACGGCCCGATTACCTGTGCAAAGCGGCAGGGCTTTGTGGTGCTGATGTGCAGTCCCACTGACATAAAGAATTTTCACCAACTGCAGTATTTCCCTGTTTAACAGCACTCCCAAGCATCCAGGCACCCTCTCCTTGGAGATGGGAGTCACCTTCTGCCCACACAGAGGAAGCATCTAAAAGACCTGCTGTATTTCTGATGCTTTCAAACAGTGATAAGCAGAGTGTATCCAATTAAATACTAGTATTTTTTCCAGCTTAAACAAATCAAAAGCAGATAGGCACTAGGTACGGGGGAACCAACACCCAGGGCAGGCCCACTCTGCTGTCCTTCACAGGCTTTTTGGCTCTGGCAAGGCATGCTCACCAAGGCAGGCTACAGCAGCGCGAGGGCCACTGCAAAACAAATGCAAATCTCGAGGGGAGAGGCAGCAGCAGGTGTAGAGGACACCACCGTCAGCTCCCACCCAGAGTCCTCTGCAGGTTACGCACAGGCTGAACTAAAAGGTAAAATCATATATAGGCCACGTACGCCCTATTGTTCTGCTGATAAATCCCAGAAACCGGACTGGGACCTCTTCTCTCTTCTCTCTCCTCCGCTCCTCTCTTCTCTAGTGGCAATGAAAGACAGCACGATGCTATTAGGGGTAAAACAGAATCTGGCAAGAGCTTTTTGTGCTAAATGCACGTTCCCTGAGCCGTCAGGCGACGGGGCAGGTGAGGACGGGGCTGTGCCCGTGCACGGGGCTCCTGCTAATTGCAGGCAGCTCGTCAGGGCGAGCGCTCCCCAGCGCCGGGCTCTCCATTGACTTCTCTTCTAGTGGCAACGAAAGACAGCACGATGCTATTAGGGGTAAAACAGAATCTGGCAAGAGCTTTTTGTGCTAAATGCACGTTCCCTGAGCCGTCAGGCGACGGGGCAGGTGAGGACGGGGCTGTGCCCGTGCACGGGGCTCCTGCTAATTGCAGGCAGCTCGTCAGGGCGAGCGCTCCCCAGCGCCGGGCTCTCCATGGAGCCACCGCTTCAGCTGCCCGGCAGGAGCAGGAAAACCATCGCAACCCCTCAGAAGCACAACGCTCCGCCCAGGCTGTGTAAAACTGCATTTTTAAATTTTTATTTTTGCTTTTAACTAATAACTCGGGTCAAAAGCACCCACGATATTCATCACCACCTAAAAACCAGCAGACGTTAAGCTGCCGAAGGGAAGCTGGGCAGACTGGTACGGGTTCTCAGAAAGTGTCTTAGAGGCCTCCAGCTGTTTTTTGAGCGGTATAAAGGCTGCGGGTCTCCAGGGAAAGTAGTTGCAGTCAATACCCCAAAACGAGACAGAGTTCAGAGCAGGAGTGGCCGGGAGAAGGTCCTCGCTGCTTGTGACCCAATATCGCCGTAACAGGAACAGAAGAGAATTCAGCCTGGAACGGCCATCGGCCATGCCCCCCGCCAGCCTGCTTCTTCACCAAGACTGCTGCCACTGAAGAGATTAAACACCTACAACATCCAACTGGCAAACAGCTACAGCGGACAAGGACAAACCTACCTGCTCCACCACTTTCCATAGGCAAACACTCAATAAAAGCCCATTTTTGGGCCAAACAGATCCTAAGGTAGCAATAATGAGGCAGGCAAGGGAAAGATCAGTGCAAGCGCTGTCTTCACGCTACCTTCCTGGAGAAATTTCGAAGGGTTTGGTGTCAAACCTCTTTCCTGAAAGAAAAGCAGCTTTTCAGGAAAAAACCGCTGCCACGCTGAGACCTGTGCCGAGGGCTCGGCGACAATCCTGCCCTGAAGAAATTCTTTGCTTTTGAAGACTTTTCATTTCCTACACATGGAGCCATCGAGAAGTTTACATTTCTTCCTGTGAAATCAAATACTTCATAAAACAAACTAAAATTTGGGCTAAAAAGCCCAAGCGTAACTCAATCCACTATTCTATTTCAGTTACATCTGTCCTGCTGGCTCGCTCTCTGTAAATGTCTTATTAAACATGGGCATGAATAATTTTTTGGACTTTGTTTCCATTAAAGCATTAGCACAAATTCAACGATACTAAACAAAAACGACCGAAGATTTAGGCCTTTCAGTGCCACCTCAGCTCAGCAGATAGCAATCGGTTATGTAAAGAAGCAGGATACAAGAGACACTTTGGTCCCATGTTTTCAAAGAAAGCCAGTCTGTTTGGCCTTTATGCTCTGAAGAACAGGATAGTATTCGCTTCTAATTAATTTGTATCTTCAGAGGGCAGTGGCTCCTTCCCTCTGAATGAAAGGGCAAACAATGTGAAGTATTGTTTAATACAGTTTTGTTCTTGACCAAGAAAGGAGCCTACCAGCTAGAGGAGAGGGGCAGGAAATCATTACAGAGGAAGCAATGACAGCTGCCAGCCAAACACTGGTATATTTTATTTATTCAGATATACGCTTTCATCTCAAACTTATATGGATGCTGCAGCTGGCAACAAGTGGCCCAGAATGGGAAATATCCTGGGTTTCCTGGCTGAAGAAGCAACCTCAAACCAACTCACCGGTCCATGCTCGGAGGAAAGCTGGAGTCATGGGAATTGCCGATGCTCCAGGCTTCGCGTGATGCTAGGGGCACGTGTCCTCCTTGTCCCTAAAACGTACCGTCTGGCTTAGAGGTCCATTACACCACCCTCTTGCTGAGCCACGATGGTTTTGGTGACACCAGGACGGTTGCACGTCCTGTGTGAGGTGCCTGGGACCAGAGATGCTGAGCCCACGCGGCTCCTGTTGACCCCCATCGGTGATGGGCAACGAGCTGCTCGGGCGAGGGGTCTGGCAGCGCTGGGAATTGCTGGCCACACACCTCGTGCCACTATTCACTTGTTTCCTCAGGTCCTGACAATCCAAACACCAGGACTTCAAAATTATTCGTGAACCCCCAGTTCCCACCAGTCTGGATTCTCCTCTTGACCATTTACTGGATATAAACTTCAACATACCCCCGTGGGTAAGAAACAACTATTTCTGTTTTAGGAATGGGATTTTGACATACAGAAAGACCGGAGTGACAGACCCTCACCCAAAAGTTAACGTTTACAGAGCCCCAGCATGAAACCACAAGTCACGAGCCCTGGTCCACCGCAACGGCGACAAAACCATCTCCATCTGTTCCACCACCAGTCACCAAGTATGCAAACACGCGGATAATTCTCCCTGTTCTCTACACGGCGAAAAGTTTCTTTTCAAATAGCAGTATTTTACAAACGTTTTTATCCCATTAGCCTATTTTCCACTGGCAGGGGGGGAGACCCCCCAAAAAAAACCCCCGGCATCGCCAGCATCCGCCTGCTTATCTAAACCTGTACCACAAAGGACACACGCACGCGCCGCGGGACAGACAGATGATATAGTCCCAGCCGGGATAGTTTACGTTTTACAAATAGTACATTTATAACAACGTACTGGAATGTAGAGATTTGATTTGTGACCTATTTATACAGGGAGGTAATCTGGAATTAGTATAGGAAAAATATTACTGGTTTATAAATACCCCTATCTTGCCTTTGCTTCAGATCTCAGCCAGGAGCGAAACATCTGCCAGCCTAAAATTAAACATCTGTGTTTTACGGTGAGGAAACCGGGACTGGAAGTTTAACGCCAAAAAAGGCCAGAGGCTGCGCGCCCCCGGCGTGGGGCTCTGCCTTCCTCCGGCTGCTCAGCACCACCGGTCCCCGTGCCAGGATGGGCGATGCCGGCCCTGGCCGGCTCCCGTCGGCACACAGCGGCGCTTTCAGCAGCGGGGCTGTCTGCAGCCATTCAAAGACCCTCGACGAAAAGCCAAAGGAAAAGTGCTCTGGCGAATAAACAGGGCATCCTCTTTTCACCACTTTATTTCCTAAAAAAACCCCACCAGCTCTTCGCTCGCGAGCATCCCCCTGTGCACAGCACAGTGTCAGACCGGCCACCGCACGGCACCGGTCCTCGCAGGATCAGATCACCGTTCCCGCAGTTAGAACCAGCTACTTTATTACGGCTGCAATTATCTGGCGTGACGAGCCGTGATTTACATCGTTGCAGCGTGTCGTTCCCAGGCTTGGTTCAGGATGCTGCGCGGGCTGCGCCGGAGCCGCTCATTACGGATTCTGGGTTGTTTCTTGCCCTCTTTCCTTACTGTCAGGAATCAGAGGCCAGGAGAGAAAACTATTCTCTCAGCTAATTACCACAACTATTCTATAATGGCTATTTTAGATGAATTTTTAATGAAGTGCGCTCTTGTCAGTTCGGGATTTCATAACTTTCAAGTCCAGCCTTCACATTCCAGCCATTTGCCGCATAAAGATTTCTCCTCTCCCCTGCAAACCGGCGCAGCAGGAGCAGGGGAGGAGGACGGACCCTCGTGCAACTTTGCTTGCGCCTGTCAAAATTAAATTAACTGCATCTGCTAAGCAGCAAGCTGACTGACAAGAACGTGGTTCAGTGCAGAAAAACGCCAAGCATCTGCAAGTCCTGCTGAAGCCCACTTCAGATCAGGCCCACGACGCTGTAATTAACAAGGATAAAAATACTTTGCTTTTGTTTAATATTTTCTGGAGTTGTGCATTCCTCAGATCAGATGCTAGAAACCTCATTAAGTCTCACTCGTGTCCTCAAGGCCCACATGTTCTCCACAACCAGACCTAGTTATAGAATAAGGAGCCATTTTATCGCGATGCCCCCAGCCTGCCACAGCAACAGGCGGGCGCGGGGACGGCGACGGTGACACCACGGCCACCGAATGCGGCCAGAAGCAGGTGGGAGCTGAGGCACCCTTTCCTACATCCCTCTGCAAGGTGCCACCCTGTCTACTGACACCTAAACCTAACCCTCCCATCGGCCCGTGTTTAAGACTGGGCTTATCCTTTCGTTTATCTGCTGCTCCTTTTGCAGGTCCAACGCTTTCCCTGGTCCATCACACCAGGGCCGCCGCTGCAGGACGCACATCGCTTAACTAGACCTCCTCCTCGCTCCCTCTACCACCATCAAAGCCTTGGCCAAGGTGATGATGTGCTCCTTGCCTCTCTGATCCCGGCTTTGGAGATGTGTCTGATCCCGGCTTTGGAGATTCGGCGTGGTTCTGACCATAAAAAGGGGTGAAGAAAAATAAATAAAAATCCCCAGCCTCGGGGTAAGAAGAGGCTTCGTGACCCCCCCGGCCTCGGGGGCGGCGGGTGATGCTCGAGGCAAGCGATGCTCAAGGGAAGTGAAGAACATCGGCCACCAGCATCCCACCACACGCTCGCCGGCGTCAGCTCAGTCAACGCTTCAGCTGGGGAATGGAAAAGCGGAGAAGGAGGAGGGGAAAAAAAAAACCAACCCTCTCTGAAATTCAAGGCTTCATCGGCTGGGGGGGTTTTTTGTTTTTCTTTTTTTTTTTTTCAAACTGGAACGGTTTTTACAAACGGGGCTCTTGGAAACCTTGGCAATCACTATTTTAAAGGGCTCCCCCCTCCCCCAGGCCTTTGTAAGGCTGTCGGGATCTACATGCCAGAAGCAGGATTAGCTGGCTTTCTCTCTTCCATCTTATGGTTTTATTATTCTGCACCTTTTGAGGGTACAGTTTATCCCGAGTAATTAAAACACAGTTAGCTGTACAAGTCCGAACCATAATGGAATAGCTTAGGTTTTATTTTTTTTAATCTCTTTTTTGTGTGCCCTCTTTTCCAGGAAGCCTGATACTATAGCTGGCTTATTTAAAACAGGAAACTCCCTTGAAATGTGCTGGTGTGGAAGTGATATTTTAGCAGAAATGTGGTATATTAGAGCCTTACAGTGGGGCTGGGCAGCGCCGCGCTCCCGACCTGCCTCCTCCCCGCATGGCCCTTCCCTCGGCATCACGACGACGTGGTTCATGTCTTCCCCCTACAGAAACCAAGTAGGAAAACTTTGCTGCAAGATGCCCGGCTCCAACGCGAGGGCTGGACGGCTGCAGCATCTCCAGCGATGCCCGAAAAAGCTGCTCCTAATTTCACTTTTCCAACTGGGATGACTCCCGCACCGCAAGAATTAGGTACAGCCTAATAGCTGCTGCCTGCACCGTCCCGGGGCTGGTCCTGCCTTCGCCTTCTGAATTTATTTTGTTCTGTTACTGCATGAACTGCGCCCGTGACAGTGAAGGAAAACACCGTGTCCAAGGGTATAATCCCACTGCTCTGAGGAATAATGCTGCGAGCCCGGGCGCTGAAGGCAAACCCACATTACCCACCGCATGCTCTACAGCGGGGAAGCGCAAAGCAAAACAAAACCTGGGAAAACAGCCCGATTTCTCTTCAGCCTGACTCTAACAGCAGCCGGGGCACAGGGCCCCGCTCCTGCTGGGCAGGAGACCCCAACCCCATCCCCGTCCCCTGAGCCCACCCGGTACCCCGCCGCCGGCCTGAAGCACAGCAGAGAGAGCAGACAGGCTTTCGAGGCTCATTTTCTACAACTGGCTCGTCCACTTTTCTCTATATTTCTAATATTAAAATAGTAACATTGCTACCAGTATGCTTCCCCCCTCCCTCAGCCACTTTTCTCAGCAAATATTTCTAATATTAAAATAGTAACATTGCTACCAGTATGCTTCCCCCCTTCCGCATATGGCTGGGTAAAAACGCTCGGAAAATGTTGCTTATCTGCTTGCTACCTGGCAGGGGGACATGCCAAGGGGACGCTGGGCTCCTCCTCTTTGGGACGGGATGGGGATGAGCCAGTCCTCAGTACCAGGGAAAGCCTGGCTTTAGGTAACAGAAAAGGCCATATTTGTCAAATCTTCTCCCTTGCTTAAGAATAAAATCAAACGGCTTTGAGGAAAGCATGCCAGCTCTCCAACAAACGAGAGTTAAATATTTGCAAAATTAGTCCAGCAATTTCAGTGCAAAACTGTAGTGGGGGAAGCGGCTCCAGGTGAGAGGGTGCTCCGCGCCGCCAGAGCCGGCGGGAAGATGTCCCTCCTCGGGGAGCACCTGCAGATCAAAGCTGCCGCCACAAACACCTGCAGCTCCGACGGGGAGGCCACTGCGCCGAGGCCGAGCCTCCGCGCGGGATGCTGCGAGCTTCATCTGCACGGGATGCTGCAAGCTGCCTCCGTGCGGGATGCAGGCACGCCAGCGACCCAGCTGGGCATCTCCCCCTCCGGTCCTGACCCCCCGACTCCGTATCCCCCACCTGCCCCTGCTCCTCAATGGGGTCCGAGCCCTGCAAGGTGCCCGGGGGCAGGGGGTGCACGCCCAAGGAAGCCCTCTCCTGCGTGGGAAGCGAGAGGGAAGGGGCCTCGTGCCCTCGCACCCGCCCCGGGGATGAGCTGGCAGCTCCCAGCCGAGCACCACCACAGTGAAGCCACCTCCTCTGTCTAAGGCACGCCCAGGGACTCACCTAATAGAGAAATAAAATATTACCAAGAGGCCCCCAAATGGCTTTTCCCTTTTTGACAGCGATGTGCTGGGCAAGGCTGGCAAAGGAAAGGGGGGTCACTTCAGACAGCGGGCATAAAAGTCCTCCTTTTCTTCTTTTTGCAGATATTCCTAATTAACATCTACGAAATTGATTTACTTGACCTTTTTCTCCCTTCCTCCAAATGTCGTATGTTCGTCACTTTTAAAAAAAATTTTACTCTAAAAGGCCAGGACAGAGGGAACGTGCATTGCACCTCGCTGAAGACTAACTCCCAGACCGACCATCTAACCTCCGCCGGGCTGGCAAGGGCTGACGTTTCCCTTCCCACGGATGACCACCCCTCTCGGATGACCCACGGCAGGTGAGCTCAGCCATCGCCATGGGACGGGTGTCACCACCGCACGGCTCACGTAACCACCAGGCTTGTCGGCAGCCTCAGCCAAACAGCGAAGGGCTAAGCCGACAGAGGCTGCGTCGTCCGCCACGCTTATCTAAAGAGCCTCTCAGCTGGGGACTCAGCCCATGAACGATGGCACGGGCGGATCTGCCCGTGCCATACCTGGACACCAGCACCGAGCCCACCACGTGCACCACTTTCTGCACCGCACTACGTAAATAAACAAACGAAGCCCCCGAAGACAAAAGCCCGATGAACAAGCCCAAAACTACCCATGCTGACTGGAGAAGGACCAAGCAACCACTGAAAGAGAGCGGAAAACCCAAGGAGAGAGACCGTCCATTACCAGAGTAGCCTCCCGAGGACTTGATGTACATCTGCCCGTACTGCTCCTCCACCATGGTGTCGTACGCCTCGTCGTCCTCCTCGTCCTCCTCGTTGTGGTAGGAGGTGGGGCTGTCAGTGGTGGGAATGCTGCTGGCGCCGGGGCTCGTCCGCTCCCCCTGCGAGTACTGGACCTGCTGGACATTGGGGATGAGGGTGGCCAGGTTGGGCATCCCATAGTAGGAGACGCGGGACAGCTTCAGGGGACCGGTGTTGGGGCCGCTGCCGCCAGTCCCCTCCCGGGCGCCGGGCTCGAGGGGCCGCTTGCCGGGCAGGCCGGGTAGGGCAGCTGCCTGCAGCTCGAGGTTCTCGTGTTTGACGCGCGTGAGGAGCGGGATGGGCATGGAGGGGGACATGACGTAGGGCGCCGAGGCCGACTGCAGCTGGTTGCAGGGGCTCTGCGGCTCCGAGCTGGGGTCTTCGATCATGGTGGTCTGAGAGTCACAGTGGGGAGAGCTGACCTTGAACATCAAGTCCGTCCCTTTCTCCACGATGTGCTGGATCTGCAGGAAGCCCGCCGTGTACATCACCACCAGCTGCTCGCTCGCCGCCATGGTCAGCTTCCCGGTGTAGCAGAAGGAGAGGATCTGCTGGAAGCAAGCGGGGGGGACGGTACCCGGCAGCTCAAAGGCGTTTTTGCTGTTCCCACTGAACAAGTCTCGGAAGTAGAGGCTGCTGGCGGCCAGGACCGCCCGGTGCGCCTTGAAGGCTTGGCCCTTCACCACGATGGAGACATCGCAGTACAGCCCCAGCAGCCGCTGCTCGTTCAGGCAGCCCAGAACGGTGTTCCCAAAGTTGGGAATCTCTATGTGCAACATCTGCGACATGGCTCAGGATCGGCTGGAGCTCCTCAGACATTCAATGCAGGAATATCCAAAGTAGGGCACATCTGAAAAACGGAGAAGGCAGGGAGAGAGGCACAGCGTTTTTAGACAGTTCACCAAAGCAGGCAGAAGCAGAGGAACCCACCTCACCCGACATCAAAGGCTCAAAGCTAAGCTCTGAGAGCCGATGCAGAAAAGCAATCGCTTATAAAAATTACTTATCGATGTTTTCAAACAACGTTGGAAATGCTATTGGTGGATGGCAAAGGATATTCCAAAAATGCAAGTATTTTCTTCAAGTTGTGGTCTGTTTAAATAAGCACCACTGATTTATTTCCCTGGGGGTTTTACTTTCTGCAGGAAAATCTGAACGGTAATGGGAGAGGAGTGAACAGTAAAGCAAACGTAAGATAGTCAGACAGATCTCGGGTAGCATTATATAAGAAACACAACAACCAGCAGCTCTGTTGAAACTACAGAAAAGATATTTATAAAACAATGTGCCATTCTGCCTGAAATAAATACAGGATTCTGCTGGAGCGACAGCTCCCAGGAAAAAGCACTTTGAAAAGCAATCTTCCCATTTGCACCAGAAAGAGGGAGCATTTCAACAGTTAAACCCCTTCTCAACAGATTTATCCTCCAACAAAACGAGGCTTATCTCCAAATTAAGCCAGATATTTGAGCCCCAATAAAACAAACCAACGTGCCGCAGCAAGCCGCCTACCGAGTTGTCTTCTTATTTTTCTCCCCTAAATCCAAAGTGGGGCAGGGGGAGCCCCAGCCCAGCCCCTCCTGCGGCCGGAGCCCCCGGCCCCCCCAGCCCATCGCCCCCCGGCCGGGGGTACCGGCCCCCGCCGGACCGGGGACCCTCCGAGCAACCTCACACGAAACGGGCTCGAGGCGACGGCTCCGGCTTTGGATCCCACCGCGGCTGCTCTTTAAGGGCAGCTGTACCTTTTGGCCACGGGGATAATTCCTCCTTTCACCGACCAAATAAAGCCTTGCGTTCGAAGGGACCTCGTGCACAAACCCCGTGCAACGGCGGAGCAGGTAGCGTTAGTGCAGCCCGTGCACTGAAACTCCAGCGAAGCAAATCACTGCGGATTCACCGACACGAGCCCGAGCTCAAACCCCCCCGTCTCCCCTCCCCGAGCTCCATGCAAGAGTCCAGGAGATTTAAAATCCTGTTTGCCTTCAATACTACTGAAGAAAAACTACCGTTAACTAGTACTGGAAGCTCAGAAGAACAATATTAAAAAAAAAAAGGGGAAAAAAAAAGAAGTTTATCTGAGAAAGATTAAAAAAAAAAGACCTCTGAAAAGAAAATAATAACCCACAAAGAGCTGCTCTGTTCCCACTGCTGGGGAAAAAAAAAAAAAGTCCTATCTGCAAGGCCACGGGGTAACAGGAAGAAAAGGGAACACACTCGGAGCCAATTTAATTGTATCTGCATGGTTAAAAAAATTCTTCCGAGCGAGGAAGTTCCCGGTCCCCTCGCCTGGCTCGGAGCGAACGTACCTTCAGCAGCGCCCGTCCCCAGCGCGGCCGCTCGCCGGAGGGGTCTGCATCCCTCCGTATCGCCCCGGCCGCCACGCTATACGCAGCGAAGACGATCGCTCAGGGGAGGGGGGGGGGGGGGGGGAAGGAGTGTTAAAAACAAACCCTGGGTTTGTATCTGCTGTAGCTCAAGCTTTTACCAAGTCAAATCTCCCCGGCAGCGCACAGCATCTAAATGAATAGGCCGGATGCAGATTAACATTCAGGCTGCTCTCTGCAATGAATAGAGCCCTTTGATTAGGGACCTGAAGTAAATGCCAGTTTCAAACCGAAGCTTTAAAAACAGAGAAATATCAGTGCCAGAGGAATGCTCTCAGTGTTGGTACAAGACAGACTTTTGATGAGTCACTGCAATGCAAACAAAGATGGCAGAAATACTGTACTGTATGCTGATGAAATGCTTAGTGGTGCCACGGCAACTGAGACAGGTTTTAAATTTATAGTGCAGTTTTGCATATGAATTACGCTGTAAACTGCCTCCCCTGCCATCTAGTACATCCAGAGTGTCAAAGCATTTAAACTATTCCAAACAGTCTGCAGAGCTGGCACTGCTGCTGGTTAACTCCTGCGGCCGGAGGAAGGCAGGGGGCGGGGGCGGCGAGCATCCCCCCAGCATCCCCCTGCCCCACCCCAGG